CTCCCTTCGCGCTGGTCCCCCTGCCCCACGCCACCCTTCTCCTGCTCCGGTTGCCTCCAAAGCCCCGGGGTCACTCTTTGGTCCCCACCGGTCCCCTGCCCTCCTGCTCCGTGCCGCCGCACGGCTCACCCTTCGCGCCCTGGGATGCTCCTCAGCACGGAGTCTGCACGACGGCCCCGTTCGTAGGCCTCCAACCTCCTCTTCCCCTCCCCAGTCCTCCCTTTCGTCCTCCAGCTCGCTCTTGGGGAGCTGCGTTCGCGCCCGTCCCGTCCGCAGCCCCCGGACTGCGCTCCGGGCCCCTTCCGAGCTGCCGCGTAAGCGCTCCCGTCCCCTCCGTACCTGCTCAGCTCGCCTCCGTTGCACTCGTTCCTCTCCGCTCTCCTCGTGCGGGCTCAGACCCCTCTGCTTCACCCACGGTGGGTACGTAGCTTCCTTCCACCCCCCTGGGTGCCTTCTGAATGCCTCCGTTTCCCTCCACGTGCCTCCAGCTCCCCTCCGTTCCCCCTGTGCTTAAACCCCTTCCTTCACCCTCCACGCGCTCAGATCCTCCCCAGTTCCCTCTGAACGGGCTCACATCTCCATCGCCCTCTAGGTGCTCTTTTCCACACGACTCCCCACTTTATGCAGTCAGTTCCCATGTGCCCTGATCCTAGTTCCCTCCGGGCATCCTCAGACCCCTCTGCAACCTCCTCTCCACCCCAGTCCTGCCTGTGCACCACTCCCGTCCATGCATGCTGATCCTCTCCCTTTCTGTGTGCACTCAGATCCCCTCCCCAGTCCTACCTGCAAACACACTGTCCTTTCCGTTTCCCCTGGTGTGTTTTCATTCCGTTACCCCTGCAGAGCGCTCAGATTTGGTCCGTCCCCTCTGACCCCCTCTATATTACCCACCACACACGTTCAGACCAGCTCCCTTTCCCTCCTTTCGCACCCTAATCCCCTCCATCCCACCATGTACATACTTGGATCCCTCCTGACCCACGTGCATGCTGCAACTCTCCCCACTCCCCCTCAGTGTATGCCGTTTGCCTCCGTTCCTCCCTGTGCATCCCAATTCCTCACCCAGTGTGCCCCTTACGTGCTCTGAGCCCTGCCGTTTCCCCCGGTGCATGCTCAGATCCCTCTGCTCCCCTCCATGAGAGCGTGGAGCAGTTCCACCCCGCTCTGTGCTTTCCATTGTGGCCCGGCATCCTCATCAAAGCCATGCTGCATAGTACAGATGAATTCCTCTGACTTAGGTACAGAGCAACATTTCAGATGGAATTGGAGAACAAAAAATATTTATAATAAAAGCCATCAAGCCTCCCTGGAGAGTCTGCATCACTCAAGTCCTGCCCACACACAAGTAGTTCCTTCTGCTGTCCTGGGACCTTGAGGTGACTTTCTCCATCGCACTCTCTGCAACCCTGGCATTACTCATGGTGGCTGACCAGAATCCCATACTGGTATTCAAGTCTGTGACAGGCATCAAGGTGAGTGGGCTACTGGGACCCATTTCCTGAGCTCTGCCTGCCTTGGGATGCCACCTAGTTAAAAAGGATATCTGAGACAAAGAGGAACATGAAAAGAGAGAAGAAAAGGAGAAACAAAGCTGGGGGGAGGACAGAGTAAAAACTGGGGAAGGGGCGAGTGGAGAAGGAAGCGGGGATGTTCTGACCAAACCACCCTGCTGCATGACCCTAACAGCCTGGGTTCAGCCACATGGTAACGAGGATGCGTTTGAAGTTGGGCTTCCAGCTGGAGCTCTCTGCATTTTCACAAGAAGGGATGGAAACTACGTGACTGGCGTGTCTTCACTCCTTGTTTCCCGTGACGAGACCCTGCCGTGCTGTTCACCATCATCACCTACACAGGGCACAGAGCAGCAGCATCACAAGAGCCAACAAGTCAGAGAACAGGAATTCCTCTCTCCCCTGGCAGATGCTGCTTAGCAGCAGAAGACCTGCAGCTTAGCAAGAGAGCAGGCAAACCCCAGCCCCAAAACTCAGCCAGCAAGCAGGTGCTAGGGCTCACCTTCTGTGAGGTGGCTGAGGTAAGCAGCCTGGATGCTGCTCCCATTGACCAGCGCCATCACCTCGTGCTTGCTGGAGATGCCGATTGTGTCCTCTTCCCCCTTCCCCTCATCATCCTCTTCCGAGTCCACCAGCACTAAGACATCACTTGAGTCTTGATTTCTGTGAACCGCAGAGCGAGCAGAGGTGGGTTTGACAGCTGAGAACAGCTTGTCCTTACTCCATCCCTCCAGGCTTTGCTAATTCTGTATACCAACATGACCGATTTTGGTGGATTATTGCGATCCCGCACTGTATTTGAGGAATAGCTGGTCTTGGACCCTGCTGGCAGCCACACCACCACCAGCAACCTGTACTGCTTCCCATTTCTCTTCCAAAGACCTCCAACCATGTCACAAATAGTCATGTGCTAAACTGCACATGGAGCAGAGTTACTTTCCCCTCTTGCATAGATGGGGAGCTGGAGACACTCAGAACAGAGCCATCCTACCTCACCTGTATCAAGGACCTCTTCCGCATAGCCTTCTCCTACACTGACAGGTGCCTTGCCAGCATGATCCCTGTGCACCTACTGGCAATGCCATCTCTCCTCTAATGCCAACTGCTTTCCTCCACCATCATCCTTCTGCTCCCCCAAGTGCGCCAAGTCTCACCCAGGCGCATTGACCCCCTTCTGTGGGACGCACAGTCTCTGCACAGCTCCCACGTAAGCGCAGCTTTGCTCTGGGGATAGCTCTTGCCTCAGGCTGTGGATTCCCTACCCTACAGGTAGGGCACGCCTGCCATGACGCGGAAGAGTGCGTTCGACCAGCGCTGGGCTGGGGAAAGCCAACACTCACCTGAACGCAGTGCCTGAACAGGAGACAAGAAAACAGAAAAGACAATGTTAGAAGCCACGAGCAGTTCCTCAGGCAAAGCACCCCTGGTTTTACTGTACAACCTCTTCCTATTCTGCCCGCAGTAGGATGGCTTCTGGCGGTCACATGCGGCAGTATGGATGGAAAGGGTCCTCTACCCTGCTGGAAGGGGAAAGCAGTCAGCCTGCCCACGTCAGATGCATTAGAGATGTCACCAGGAAAGGGGAAGACAAGGTTGCCCCAGCACAGTACAGGTCTCTGGGGGAGAAGGAAAGGGAAAGAATCTGAAGCACCCAGCTGGAGAAGGGTCTTGTGTTTCCAACCCATCTGCCCCCAGGGCTGACAGGATTTTTAGCCAGGAGTGGCATGCAGCACGAGTCAGTGGCTGACTCCAACAGGCCAGAAGACACAAGCAGCTCCCTAAAAT